AAATGGGAAATCAGGGTATAATGGTTTTGTTGAAATGTATGTAACAGACAGAAGGCGGTGTGGCAGACCCCACAAAGAATATATATTTTCTTGATCAGGGCTGAGTCAATTTGGCCCTGTCCGTCTGTCTGTCCGTCCGTCCGTTTGTCTGAATGAACGCGTCGATCTCAGAAGATATTAGAGCTAGAGACATCAAATTCGTTTTCCTAGCTTCGTGTATATCACGCGCATATCGAGTTTATCACTAAAAATCGATAACAGCTCCAGATATTTTAATATCGATTAAAAACCTTATCGGGAGTTACTTATTTCATTATATCTTCTATATCTTTAGAGCTAGAGCTTCCAAATTTTAAATGTAGACTTAAGTGTATTTTATATAATTTCGATTTTGGTTATAATTTACCACATCCCCCCACCCTAAATTCACCCGCTCACCCCCATGTTTGTAAAAGGTGTATTTCAAGTACTAGAGACTTGTGCTTATGATTACGTTCTAAAAGTTTCATTAAGATTGTACGTCTAGAAATTAAATAAACTCGTATTATATTGCCCAGCAGCGCAGCCCAATCGCAGTCGCTGCTCACTGCGCAGTTAGTATAGCAGTAGAGTAGAATATCAGATTGAAGGGTTCAGGGTAACTCCTAGTCGAGCAGTCTCGACTAGAGTTTTCTTACTTGTTGTACTTGTATTTGTTGAGCATTGAATAATAGCGCTATTTTACATACAGATTGTATAGTATTAAACATGTCCTGGTATGTCTGTGGAAGTTTATCTGAAAAAATCGAGAGTACATATTCCTTGTACATATACTGTATAGCTTATACTCAGTCGGACGGGCATTGCTATATACTCCGTCACTTCATAAAATGTTTGTAAAATAGTTTTCTAACTACAAGTTAAACACATTGACAATGACTTAGACTTCAATGTTGTGAAAGTAATGTGTTTTTATTACAAATATGCAAATACATTTACAAATCTTAGTTCATTTGTTACCTGCATTCGCTATAAAACCTCAGCAAGGGCCACCAAAATTATATCAGAATAACAAATAACTGATCCGAGACCTTTTCTTGGCTACCTGTTCCTTCGCCCTTGAGCTGAAAACCTGTTCTCGATCCAAAACATGTTACTGCTAGTGCATTGTCAACGGTTGTTTTGCTTTATTTGATAACTCTTAAGCAGTGCCAGAACATTCTCATATTTCATTGAAGCAGGTAAGAAATGACCCTAACCCCTGACCCATTCAATCCGGAATCTAGTTGTCTTATATGACTTGCACGATCCGTACGTATACTGTGTTTTTTATACCCTGAACCTAAAATGGAAAATCGGGGTATAATGATTTTGTTCAAATGTGTATCGACTTAGCCTTTCAGAAGATATAAGAGGAAGGGACGTGGTCCGTGCATATCACACATAAATCGACAACTACTCCCATTTTGTTATCCCTACACCTTCTCAACTGAGTGTCCAAATTTTAAATATAGATTTTTATGTATTTTATAGAATATTATTATTTAAATAAAAATTAGTTTAATGAATGCATTCTTATTCGTTAAAAATGAACATATCATTGTTTAATAAGCTTACACACGTACATCTATGTCTACAAGATATCGCCTATATAAATTAGTCGACTTAATAGTATTACCATAAAGTAGGATAGAACAAGTACGAAGGCTCTAGTCGAGACTGCTCGAGGAGATACCCTGAGCCCTTCGAGCAACTGAGATTTTAATAATAATTCGCACATACAGACACACACACGCATACAAACAAACACGCACACACAGGCGACTGCTCTTGGGCTGCGTTGCAGTGTTGGAATATTTTTTTGAGAATTTATTTGTTGAATAATTTAATTTCTAAACGTACGATCCTAATGAAACCTTCAGAACGTTATCATAATGTTCATATGTACATATGTATACACCGAAGCATTTTACAAATACGGAGGTGAGGGGGTGGATATAGGGATGGGGGGTAAATTTTAACAATTATCGAAATTGTATAAAATGAATCTTAATATATGTTTTCAATTTTGATACTCTAGTTTTAAAGATGTGGGAGATATAATTTTATAACTGATTTTCGATAGGGTTTTTTATCGATAACAAAATAAAGGGATGAGTTTTCAATCAAATAATTAAATTAAATAATTAATATGACATTCAACAAATTCGAAGGAATACATAAATAGATCAGTAAATCAGTTGTAAAAAGCCTACGAATCTAGGTAATTGTAACAGATTTGAATTTGAAAATGGTTAAGTTATTTATTTCTCACGCATAAAGGTTTCAGGATAATGACCTAGAGAGACGAGGCGAGAGATTCTCACGCTTCTAGTCCTTTTTAGGACTCTAACCTGCGAGCGTTGGGTATTTCAAATCACTGCCCAAACGTGAGAATCTTCTAATATTCCACCTGGCGACCATCAGCATCTGTGATTGGCTGAACCGCTTTGAGACACTCAAAGAGAGAAACTGTATAAATAGGGTAGACACGTTAGAGACAGCATCATAAACAGATTGACTACCGCACCGGCAACACTCACAACATTTACTCAAGGCAACGCAATGTCGAAGATGTCAGCTACAAATAAACAACAACTCAACTTCAGCAACAATAAGAAAAAGATTATGGTTTATTCGCACAAATCGAAAGTCTCTCCTACACGCCGACTCACAAATATAGTGAAGCCCTTGATCAGACATCTCTTCAAGGTAAAGGCAAAGCAGCCAAAGCGAAGCTCCTACATCGCATCAGAGGAAAAGGAGATAGAGTTCGACTGGCTAAACAATGACATGGATAATATGTCAAACGAGCATCTAGAGAGGCGACTTATTGATGAGATCAGGCAGTGTGCCAAGGAGGACGCCATAATCGTTTACGACAAAAACGGATCCGGCGAGCTTCACACGTTCGATCAAGAGGACTACTATGTGCCCGTGCACTTTGCACGAACCCATGGCGATACATTCTTCTGGACTTCATTTCAACCCAGCCACCAGGTGAAGCCCTATGACATTGAGTGGCACTTTCACGATCGTTGGGCACAGGCGTGAAGGACACATTTCTGAAACATCTGGGTTCTAGCTTTTTCAAGTCTGGGTACGACTTTAGCAGGTTTCGAAATCAAGACTTTGCCTGTCTTCGGGATCAAATTTTCTGGATCTTCGATCTTGGCCACCTCAGGATCTTATCTGGGGTAGGCAGACATATTCGTAGGGGTAATCGAATTGCTTTGCATTATAAATGGAATTTAAAATGCTTAAAGCGTCATCAAAATTCATTCACTATGGCACGACATAAGCAATTTGTTCTTTTACTAGCATAAAAGTATTTAATTTGCATAGGACTGTAAAGTGAACGTGGGTAGTACAGTTGAAAACAAGATACAGTATCAATAAAACATATTATTTGAAATACTATTCCAAATTGTATTTATTATATCATATTTTTATACCCTTAATCCATTGATACCATTAATCCATTATACCCTTAATCCGTTAAAACGGGAAATCGGGGTACAATGGTTTTGTTGAAATGCATGTAACAGACAGAGGGATCTTGATCAGAGCGACGAGCTGAGTCGATTTGGCCCTATCCGTCTGCCCGTACGTATGAACGGGTTTAGAAATTCTGAGTAAACTCTCATTTATCACAACGATACTAAATTGAATTTATTTTTTAAATATAACAGAAAACGTCGATTTTGCGATTTTACATTAAGATATCTCAAATCTTTTTATTACATCTGCGTTTCCTTCACTTTTTCAATATCTCTTTGAAAACAAAAGTATATTGACTACAAAATCTTTCAAATAAAAATTTAATCAAAAAGTTATCAATATATTTATTTTTTCACACTAAAAGCCGAATTACTCAAAATTTATGGAAGACTTAAACGAGCAACATCGTTGACTGTAGTAACTCGTTTCAAAATAGTATATATGCTATTTCTATTTCCAAACCGCATCGAGTCCGAATAATATATATACTTCTGAATACGCTTGAAAACATGTTGCCATTTGCGGTCGTCGCTGGGTACTGATTTGTTGGTCAGAAATACGTCGGCCCTATTAAAATACAAGCCTCGGTATCAGAACTCTCCAGCGAACATCGCATAAATTGAGATAGGCAAAATATAAAAGAAACCTTATATAAATGGACCTATCAATTATGTGCTGAACGGGTTTTGTTATCAAGAAATATGTTCATATGCTCATAGACGAACTGAATAATGCACCCATATAAGCGGCTACTCTGTGTCTGCTTACACACACTCGCCGACACACACACATATGTGTACACTCATATTTGTATGTATGCATTTGTTCATTCATGCATTCGTATCGCTCTTATCATTAAAGTCTTGATTTGTATGTATACACAGACTTCCTGTTGAAGCCCAATATACCTGTTGAAAATGGAAATACTGGCTATATTGGGTCTTTGAAAATGTATGTCAAGCCTAACAAAATTAATAAGTATTCTTTCTATTAACTTGAAATATTTATATCATATCAAGTTCAATTAAATAATTCTTTGTCAATAATAATAATAATTATTATTCAATAAAATATGTAGAACATATGGTCTTAATGATAACACTTGAGAAACCGGAGAAAAATACTCGGAGACATACTCATTGATTGTGGCTATGTTAACTTAAATTTAAATATTGTAATTACTTTAAGTGAAGATCGGACGATCTTTAGGGTATTTCTTATATACACATGGACTCCCAAATAGAACATTGTGCACTTTATGGCAAAAGTATAATTATTACGCTCTGATGATTTCTGTTTTTTATTGGTAATCAATTATATAAAAAGAATGATGTAAGTGAATAACAAAACTACATTCAGTATTCAGAACAGTGGCGAAAAGTGCAGTTGCATTCAGAATAAGAAGTTGGCAACCGAACATGGTAATGGGACTAAGCTTTGTCAAATGCAAACAAAATATTCCTATAATTCTATTTTCAATTATCTTATTGCAGGCAAATGCATTTCAAATGCTCTTAATCATTTCAGCTTTTCATTCTAACAAACTGTTTGTAAATGTAAAATTAATGGTAGCACTATCAGACATGGATGCGTCGGAAATGGAAAAATTTGAATATTGCGTTAAAATACTTATTATTTGCTATTGTACACATGATAATCCTGCTGATTACAACGTGGACGATACAGACGATCGTTATGATTACTATTTAAGGAAAAACGGCTGCATTAAAGAAGACCTAACTGGACAAGACAACGCTACATTTTGGAAATATGTTCGTGAATGGCAACATGACGTTGAGGAGATAATGTTGGATCTTAATATACTTTCAATTTCCGAAGTATTTGATCATGGAAATAGTATAAAAATCGATTTAACCTTGTATTTCCACATACCTAAAGTAGTTATATGCGATCGGAAGAAAATGTTTGAAAAAACGACATCTTCTATTATAACGACGACAAAAACAACAACTATTACCACTACTTTAACAACCACAACATCTACAACGACCACAACAACAACAACCACGGAGCCAACAACAACAGAAATCATTGAGCATGGACCGCAATGTAACGAGAGTGATCCAAAGGGAAAATGGATCATGGAACAGACAGAATTAGGACGTAAATTGCCTACACTGGTCTCCAGACTTCCGAATGTCATGGTAAAGCTGAACGTATTATTGAATCGGAATTGTTGTCCATATCCTATTATTCGTGATAGAGTCGAGATAATTAATGATATCGTCGACCTTTTAATACAATTGTTCTGTGTCCCGTATACTGAACGAGCAAAATCCACAGGCTATGCATTACTTGATATAGAAAATTTAATGACAAGACTAGGCCAACTAAACCTACATGCACCTCAAAATAATCGTTTCAATTGCAGTTGCTGCAGCGACTGGGAAGTTGCTGTTAAAGGTGTAACCGAAAGATTTAGGAAAACATTAATATCCATAGTTCCAGACTATGTTTCAATCATTTCGATATTTAATTCACTAAGTGGAAACCAAAATAATCTAGTGAAAAATTCTAAAATAGCCGAAGATAACCTCTCCGCGATCGCAAGAATAATCGATAATAATAATAATGAAGTCAAGTGCTGTAATATCACATATAGCAACGTTTCACTGATCGATAAAATAGAATTCAATAATTTCAATAATGTTTCAAGTCAGCAGCTGCACGAAACTCTTATGACCTTTAATGTTTTTATAGAAAACACACAAAATGCCATCCATAATGTGGAGTCCAAAATTACAAAATTTATTGCGTTTTGTGAAGGAAAGCGATTGGAAAATGAGCAGAAAAAGTTGCAAATGAATTTCACAAAAACTAAAGTAAATCAACTAGAAGAAAAAATTAAAAATTTTGCATTTAATGTCCAAAATTCACTCGATAAAGCTGGTAAAGTCGAGTTGCAGCTTCATGAATCGGTTGACAAGGGGCAGCAAAATGTAGAGATCTTTAAGGCGCGACTGAAAAGTTTATTAAATGAAGCGCACCAAAGACAAATAGAGGCCCAGGAAAAAAGATCCACATTTAATTTAATGAAAAGAAACGCTCTGACTGCCTGTTTGAAAAATATAAATGAAATAAGTAACTTGAAGCCACTGAGCCTAGTCCTTAACCAGAGCTCCGTTTCATTCATAAATTGGCAGCAGAAATTAACAATCTCCCAAGAAATCGTAAGTGACAAATCGAAAAAATTAAGAAATAAATTGAACGAAAAATTGGAGGAGTGGGAATCGAGTGGGAAATTCCAATACAATTCAAGTGCAAACAAGCAATTTACTATCGTTATTTATGCTATGCAAAGTGAATTAACGGAGCTATACAATAACATTATAGGTGTTAGCGGATTACAAGATGCAGAGTCCAAGAAGATTAGCAGCCTTTTGGTAAAAATGGAGGATATGCTGGCAAAAGAGTGGAGCAATATGGAACAAAATGATGTACTCGATGCCAAAATCAAAAAATTTACTGAACAAATTTTATACGATTTCGAAAAAAAAATAAACGCATCATCCATGGGAGCATTGAATGAGCTTTATAGTAAGTTGGAATATCTAGAAACCAACTTCAGTGACATCAAAAGCAAAACTACTTTTATGGAAAATGACATGCTAAAGAAAGTTATAAACATTCAGTATATTTTCAAGGAGCTTAACGAGAAGCTAATTCATGCGGACATTGGGGTCAATAAATGTTTGTCGGATTGTGATTGGGGGGATATGCCGTCCTTAGATAGCCTAGAGGCACGTATTGAGGCACTTGAAGAAAAATTAAATATTTAATTACTTGTTTTTTTTTTTTTTAAGTACATTTAACACCTTGTTTTTTAATCAAATTACGTTATAAAAAAGTGTTGGGCCATTATTATTCATTTAAGATAACAGGGCACAGTAGTCCTTTTCAATTTAAAACTAATCATTGCAAATTGACTTGTATTAAAGTATAATAAGTATGTGGGGAAACCGTTATATAAAAGTCTTATTAAAAATTAACTTTAAAACTACATCTCAAAAGTTATTTTATTATTATCATCGAATATCAATTATCAATATCCAATATCATTATCCTCAACCAAACATACATCAATTGGAGAAACATTTTCAAAATGCATAAGTGAAATATTAGATCACGAGCTATGACGGATATATCTACGCCCATCGGGGGCGTCGCAAACTCTATCTCCTAGAGTTTTAAAGGTTTAAAGTTTTGAATGAGCAAATGCTATGATTCTATAATGACATGAGGATCTGAGGATATAGTTATTTTTCAAATTCTGCTATATTTTCGACACTATTGATGCTAGGGACCTCAAATTTTTTTTTATACACTCGAGCTGACCTCTCAAGACCAAAAAGCTTTCTTGGATATATATATATTCGCCCATAGGGGGCGTGGCAAACCGCAAGAGCCTATATCTCCTAAACTATGAGCTAGAAGCTTAAAATTCGGATAGTTAAGTTACTAGTAGCCTCCTCTCCAATGGGCGTAGATATACCTGAAATAGCTCGTGATGTTGGGTGGTCGTCGCGGATCTATGTACATTCCAATTTGTGCTTGCATTACAAAACCAATATACTAATTTACTTTCGTGAATGAGTATAATTACACTTTGCTGATCACGTCCAAAATGTCATAAACATCTAATTCGAACCTTGTATCAATTTATAAATGTGAATTCTCGCCTAAGTTTAGAAAATAAAATTCTAGGTTCATCATAAACAAATTTTGTACAACAAATTTCTTTCTTTTTTCGCTTGTAACACATTTTTAAAAATACCGCCAGACTCAGGCTCATTTAGGTAATTTCCAGTGCGCAAGAGTTGGCAGGTCCGATAGCAGAAACAGCTGAGTGTGCTAACACGTGTGCATTACTTGTATAGATTTCTTTATTTATTGAATTGTGTAAAGGACAAACAAGAACAAATAAATCATACAAAATGCGTCAAAACACACCACCACATCGTCCCGACTTCGATTATGAAAATGACGAATTTCTGGAGGAAATCGAATTAGATGGCGATCCACCGGCAGATGATGATGATGAACTGGAAATGGAGGAGGTGACTTTATCGCAGTTAGAGGCTCGTTTGGGAATGCAGAGCGATTCGGACGACGCAATGGATGGAAATGAGGACGAAGAGGAAGAAAATCGCATTGCAGCCATCAGGGATGATGCGTTGATTACTTTTAGGAAGCACACAGCCCCCGTCTTCGGTTGTCATCTGCACCCGCGACTCGATTGGGCTGTGACCGGCAGCGAGGACGACCGGGCCTATGTGTGGGACACCAATAACGGCGAGGTGTTGTTCGAGATAACTGACCATAAGGACACGGTCACTGAAACGCATTTCAGTCACGACGGTTGCTATTTGGCGACAGGCGACATATCCGGCGAGCTGTTTGTGTTCAAATTGAACGAATCGCAAGACGATCGCTCGATTCTGTACAAGGTTTGGGAGTACTCCATGCTCGATATGGCCTGGATGTTCTGGCATCGTGCCGCTAACGTCCTCCTAGCCGGCAGCGATAGCGGCGAAGTGTACGTCTGGCGTATTCCCAGCGGCGAATGCAAAATTCTGCCTGGACATTCGGCGCGCTGCGAAGCCGGCGATTTAAGTGGCGATGGCAAGAAGCTACTCACTGCGTACACTGATGGTGTAGTCAAGCTGTGGGATATAAAAACATGCCAGGTTCTGATGGAGGTCAACAATCAACATCCACTTGGCTTTGGAGAAGTCAGCCATATCGTGGTCGCATGTGAACAGAACTCGCCATTCTACTTATGTGCTGAGGGCGGTGGTTAGTAACTCAAGTTCTCAAATCCTTATCCGTACATGATACGAAATCAATAACAAAAACTGTGACTTTGTAGGTAAATTACTCTTCTGCACTAACAATGGACCGGTGAATGTTATACAGTCCGAGCATCTCATTGAATGCGTTGCATTTGCGCCTTCAACGACAGATCTGAAGCTTTTAGCATGCGGCTCGTTGGAAGGGCAAATTTCCATTTGGGACTATTCAAAATACGCCCTTCGCACGGTCTGCGAAAGCCCCGTGCCATTTGATGGAATTCTTCGGTACATTTTTTAGCATATACATATGAACAAACTAATCAAACTGTAATTATTTCAGACTGAAATGGCTAAATGACTATACTTTGCTGGCCGCCACCGCACAGGGAAAACTGAATGCGTTTGATGCACGCACTGGCTCGCTTAAATTTACACTGACTGGCCACTTATATCATATATATGAATGCGCTTTTAAATGCGAGGAAAATTGTTTATTGACCGTTTCAGAGGACAATACAGCTAAAGTTTTTAAGCTACCACATTTGGGTGAATAGATATTAGTTCAAAGGTGTCAACTACAATAAGTAATTATTCAATAAGATTCTTGTATATACACTAGATATGTATGGAAGTGTGCTCTGAGTGCAGCATCAGCAAAATTACAAATGCATTGTATTAATCTCAATGAAGACCAGCTGTTTACTTAAATTCGAGATAAGATTTTAGCACCGTGACGTACTTTTATGGCAAAAATTATTATTATTATTATTATTTATTTATTAGATAATATATAAAAAAATATAAATCTAA